CATAAATTGATTATGAGAAATCTAAATCTTTGTAATACATATTAACCTATGTTCAATTACCCTCTCTCATAACTTTAAAGGATGACACATCAACTTAATTCCTCTATAATTTGCACACTCTTGTGCCTTCCCTTTATTCTTAAAAATGGTGACCAAAATACTCTTTCTCTACACCTCAGGCGTCTTTTTAGTTTTTAAAATAATATTAAAGAGTTTAGTAAGCCAAGAAACTTCCGAATCTCCTAAATATTTTCACACTTCAATTGGGATATCATCAGGTGCTACAGACTTTCGACTCTTAATTTTCTTTACAGCCTCATCAACTTCTTTTTACTAATGCGACGGTAAAAATGAAACATTTTATTATTATTATTATTATTATTCACGATATTACGATCACTAAGATTGATCGTATTTTCAAAAACTTGATTAAAAATTTAATCAAAATAATTGACCCACCTATGTTGAATATGTTTATCTAAAAAATATTTTTTTTTATTTTCATCTTTAATACACTTTACTTGAGCTAAATCTTTACATTTTTTTTTATCTTTGTTTGGTTAGTTTATACATATATTTTTCACCTTCCTTAGTATCTAATGTATTAGAAATATTATTTAAAGTAGAATTTTTAGCATCACAGATTGTTTTTTTAGACTGTCTGCGGGCCGTTTGATATTTTTCTAGTTCTCTAAGCTTTTACATTTAAACTAATTTCTATAACATAATTTCTTATATTTTATATTTTCTTGCACATTATTATTACACCACCAACTATTTTTATTTATAAAATTTTTTTCTTTTGATTCTTCAAGCACATCTTTTGCTACTTGTTTAATAGTGTTTATTATTTTATTCCACATAACATTTGCTTCTTCATGAACATCCCAAATTTTGAAATCTTGAATTTTACTCATAAAAATAATTTTATTTGTGTCTTGTAGATTCTCCCATATAATTTTACAATGATGAGTCCTAGTATTATTTATTTTACATCGATTCAT